CCCCTTCTCATTACAGAGATGCACATCACCTAATATGCTTAATTGGTAGTAGGCTTTCGAGCCTATACAGCTTGGAGTAAGACAACATGCATGAAGAAGATGATGTGGACAAAATACTCATTTGCCTAATAATTCTGCACTCCCTGTATAGTAGCTTGCTGTCTGATACGCTGCACCTGCTCTGTGGTTGTTCCGTGAATTTTATACAGCAGAGCAGTTTACCAGTCCTGCTGGTTTGGTGTCATAATGATGTGATAGGAAGGTTAACATGAATCTGCTAAATGCAGGGAGAATCCAGAAAAAATGGTTTGACCTGAGTTTTGAAGAGATGGAAGTGGTTGTTTTAAAGGACCATAAGCTCTGACCTCAATTCCTGTCTGTCAGGAACCTTCCAGATGTCACAGCAGAGGATTTTTCAAAAGTTCACCTTCATCAGTTCAAGTGGATCCACTGGGAGGTGAGTAAAGTCCAGTAAACGAGCCAACCCAACCTAGTATTAAACTGACATTGGTAATCAGAATTTTAAATTAAGATCATAAACACAACCTGTTAATGATGAGTAACCAATCAGAAAACACCTGTCACCATCTTAACACCTTTCCAGCCTGCACTCCTCAGAGGTTTGTGCTCATTTAGAAACAATATTTTCACCAGAAGACTTAACAACAACATTAATTTGAAATTGATCAATGATGATTAATTCATTAAACAAAAGCGCACTCTAACCCACTGGAAACTGTTTTGTCTCATAAATCTTGTTTGTTTGCTGTCACACTTTAACTCCTGTAGGGCCGAAACGCAGAGGAGCAGGTGAAGATGATCCAGCAGGTAGAGCGATATAACAGCATGTTGCCACAGCAACAGAAGATCACCATTTCCGTGGAGATAGAGAAGACCAGAGAGCCGCTGTACCAGCTGTTTCCTCATGGCGATGTGGTGAGAGCTTCTGTGCCAGAACCAGGAGAACATAAACTGCCCACTCTATCAGACAAAGTGTTATTGCATGTTTTCTGTCACGTGTTGCAAATTCATCGCAGTTTCATGTCTTTAGGTGTTTGTCAGTAAGGACGTTGCTCGTGATTTTGGGTTTGAGTCAGCTGAAGCTGCCCTGAAAGGACTTTACAGTCGAGTCAAACAGGGGTGAGCGGTCACAGGTCAGCAGTGTAACATTAGTAACAACCATAGAAATAAAAATATGACACCATCCTCCCTCAGGGCCATCCTGATCTGTGCCTGGGCAGAAAAAGGAGCTGATGCTTTGGGTCCTGATGGTGTGATCATTCATTCTGATGCATTTCCTCCTGAAAGTCTTGTTGATACGCTTGGAGCTGGGGACACCTTCAACGCTGCTGTCATCTACACACTGTCCAAGGGTGAGACTTTTAAACATCTATGTAGCAGGAAGCCAGCAAAACCTCAGTATTCTGTAGCAAAAAGCTTTATTAATAAAGTGCTGATCCTGATACACACCAGAACAAAACCTGTTTTAACATATATCCGTTGTTGTAAGTGTACATGGATTGGCTGTTATATAATCCTTTTCTACGCTACTTGAGCACTCAAAACTTTATACAACATACCTCATCCACCCATGGACAGACAGTTTTCTATCCATAAGCTATGCGACTTGGGGTCCTATTTTGGCATGCACACTGGAGCAGCCAGGAACCCAATCACGACCGTTCTGATTAGTCGGTGACCTGCTCCCATGACCCCACGGAGGAAAAGATGAGATGGAAACATTTCAACACAGGACCATCACAATAAGACTGTTAATTAAATTAAAACTGTTAATTAAACTTCCCTTTAATTAACTTTGATTTATACAGCACCAAATCACAACAACAGTCTCAAGGTGTTTTATATTGTAAGGTAGACCCTACAATAATACATACAGAGAAAAACCCAACAATCATATGACCCCCTATGAGCAAGCACTTTGGCGACAGTGGGAAGGAAAAACTCCCTTTTAACAGGAAGAAACCTCCGGCAGAACCAGGCTCAGGGAGGGGCGGGGCCATCTGCTGTGATTGGTTGGGGTGAGAGAAGGAAGACAGGATAAAGACATGCTGTGGAAGAGAGACAGAGATTAATAACAGATATGATTCAATGCAGAGAGGTCTGTTAACACATAGTAATGCCCTTTAATTCCCCTTTACTTTTAAATAAAATAAATCAGTAACACCTGAGGACTGATTAATTTAAAAGATCAATGTTTTCTGTCTATAGGTGGAAGTTTGCAAGATGCCCTAACCTTTGGCTGCAGGGTTGCTGGCAGGAAGTGTGGTTTCCATGGTTATGACAGCATCAGCAAAGTCTTCGATGACATGCAACCACAAAGTTTGTTTTAGGGAAACCCAGTCCACAAAAGCACATGACCACATGAAAAACAATGTGTAAACATGAACATGTGTGTTAACGTGAAAGTGTTTGAAGGCACAACTGAAATTTTATCTAATTTTCAGTTTAAGGAAAATCATCTGTGGTATAAGGGATCTGCATAATTACAATCAGTAACTGACATTTAACATCCATTAGTTCCTTCATTCACAGATCAATAACTGGATTATTGTTCAATAAATTATTAACTGAAGTGAAAGAAGCAAATGTTTCTTTGGAGTGTTTTTACTTGGTGGAATTAAATCTCACTGATCAGTGATCGGGTTGATTGTTTTTGTCCTGATAGTTTGTTTTTCATTAAAACAATTACGACTCGATGCTCAGACACAGCTTCCTTTCATTCTCTCTACAAATAACCGTGTCAGGGTACTCACTCGCAAGGTCTGGTTTCCTGCGCAGAAAGGAACAAAAAGCCAAAGACGACAAACATGTTTTTATTGAAGACCCAATTCTACTAACGATTTCCAGTTTAACAACCAGGCATCAAACAACTGTTGTACTCCAGCTTCTCACAGGTGAGTTAAACATCCCAGGTGCAACTGGCAGTGGCAAGCAGGACCTGCTTGACACCTCTAAAACACAAGGCATAATTGGCACACATACACATGAGTGAGAGCGATGGAGAAAGGAAATTGAGTCATCAGAACCACAACAATAGCAGAAAACTTGCTGAGCACCAGTTCAGCTCACTGGGATGAGCAGGTGACCATATGCCTCTCAGTTTTAAGAAAGGCTAGTGACCCCTGTTATAGAGTCTGACAGCTGCAGGGATTATATACAAATATTCAGCTGGGGGTTAGGGTTTAACCAGGTCTAATTTTTTTTTTAAAAAGAAGACTTTATAAGATAGACCTTCTGAGTATCACTACAAAAATTACCAACAGTGGTCCTCATACCACAGTTTGATATCAGCAAACACTGAGAGCATACATTGATATGACACTACAGCCATGCTATCATTCAAACACTGATAACAGCATAAATCGAATTAAATCGGGACTTGATGAGACCTTTCGAGTATCACTAGAAATATTATAAACAGTCGTCTCCGTACCACAGTTTGCTATCAGTAAACACTGATAGCATACCACATCCATGTTAGCAGTGTATAAACAGATGGTTTCGCATATATTAGCACAGGTATCAATAAAGGACTACCGTATTAAACACTTTTACTAACCTCAAGCAGATGGACAGGCGCTCTGCAGTTGGGATTGAGCGCCTGTAGTTGTTGTCTAGGCGGGCGATGCTTGGACCGCTGTGGGACAGCAGCTCCTCAAACTGGGCGAGGGAAAGACAGTGGTATCGCTGAAAGCGGCCGTCATCCAGGCGCAGCTCCTGGAGCAAGTGGTGAAACTCACCAAACTGCTCACGTTTCTGGAGTACTTGATGGACCCAGGTACAGCGAGGACGTCCTTTACGCCGCTGCTCTGCTCTCCACAGTAAATAGAAAAGGGAGACTCTCTATTCAAACACTAGATCAACAGCTGCCATCTTGCAAACATACCATCTGGCACTACTTCCTCCAACATTTCCACAAGTAATTCGCGTTGGACAAACGTTGAGGTGCGAATGTGCATGCGTCAAGCTAGGGGCGTCTGGCACGTTCTGGTCGTGTCTGTCGCGTTCGGTGTGAACACACCGTAATGACAGAATGGCAGCTGTTTTTTATGAGCGGAAGTTTTAATTCAGTTCAATTCAATTTTATTTATACTGCTCCAATTCAAAACAAGTCACCTAGAGGCACTTTATATTGTAAGGTAGACCCTACAATAATCAAAAATAAACTGCTGACAGGTGTCAGGTTTAGCTTTCAGTTTATTTTGAACAGGTCCATAATCTTTAATGTTCAGGTAAGTACAGGTGAGACAGGTTTGCCAGCAACAGCACAGATGAAAGATAAAATATCCTGAGTGGTTTCCAGTATTATCATGTAGTTTTAACCTGTTTACACTTCCTAATGAGACAAAAAGCGAAAGATTCATCAGGTCAAAGACATCTAAGTACATCAGACAGTGAAGCATTTTCTCCCCAATCGGCTTGACAGTGATGAATCGTGTTTCATGTGTAAACTGAGCCAATGAGGAGGCTTCCAGCTACCTGACATTCAGGTGTAAATAGAAACAACATGAATCAACATGAAGTGAGAGGTTTTAGAGAGAACATGAAATATAAATTGATGTTCTCGGGCAGAACGTCAGTTCTTTAGAATAAACTAACAAAAGGTTAAAGAAATAAACCTTGACAGTTACCACGTGATCACTTTTCTGCCCACTGGAACAACACCCTCAGAGGAGGGGCAACTTTCAAGTTGTTCTGACACAGTGTTGTCATGGATACAAGTGTTTCCCTTCATGTTTAATTCAGTCCTTCGTATTTATATTGTATGACCTTCACAGCGTCAGCGTGCATGTGACCTATGGTGAACAACACTGTCTGAACTATAATTACCTGTAATCTTGAAGATAATCTACGAATAATACATTAAACTGTGAGAAGGAGTAATAGTGTCTGTAACTGTAACCTTGTTAGTTTGGACTCATTGCAAAGTGTAAGGCTCACTGTGCTGCTGTCAGTTCTTTTCTGATCTGTTCATCATATACTCATCCTTTTAATGATGTGTTGTATATATTCACATTAATTGTAGATCTATGTAAACCCTGCATATGAACATTTAGGCAGTGCTGGTGGTGGCGGTGGAGTTGGCAGTCTGTTGCTCCATCTCTGAGCTTCCTACCACCATTTCTCTCAGCCCTTTGCTGAAGTGAAGATTTGCTCCGATCACGATGAAACCCTGCAGAGATGGAACAGCTCCTGTCAGCCAGGGGGCAGCACTGAGTTTATTTCTGCATAAATCTGACTTTAAAAAAAAAGAAAGCCTAAAACAAATAAAATGATAATAAAAGCCTTTATTATAAAAAATGTGTGACGCCCACAAGTGTATGGTCACAATTGTAATTTTTTTGTAAATTGTTTTTTTTGATGGTGGTATTACACTTTTCATTTAGAGTTATGGAGAATGTAATTGCGTGGCATGGCCACAAGGGGGAGGGCGTGGTGAGTGCGATAGGCCGTTGCAACGCTCCTGTGCCTCAGACGAGGAAGAGCCTGCAGACCGAATGCAACTCATGTCTCCTATCTCTGCTTTTCTGTTAAAAAAAACAGGTTAGTAGCCCAAGTTTGCTAACTGCAACGCACACATAAAAGCAAGAAACCTTTTTCTGTCTTAATTTAAAGACCGCTAATGTTGTGAGAGAGTGTGTTTTCACAGATTGAGATAAAGCTAACCTTACCGCCATTTGTAATGGGAATCCGCCATTTCACTTGTATTCTAAAGAGGTAACTGGTCTTATTACCTGTTTTATTTTATGACAAATGCAGATCTTAGACACATTTCTTTTATACTGACATTATTGGAAGTTACAGTTGATTAAGATTATTCCAACCTACCCAGTTATTATGTGTCAAATATAAATAGTCTGATGTATACTGTTTGTGGACGATTGTAAACTGTTTGTGAGCAATGGTATAATATTTATTTTTATTGTTTACAAATGTAATATATTGTTTGAATCTTTTAAAATATAAAGAATGTATAATGGAATATAAGCAGGTTAATTGCAGTGTTAATGGTACATCACAGAGATATTATTGATGCTTAACAGCAGTAGAATTTGGTTACAGATTTATTGTAAAAAACCATACAAAATAATAATTGTATATGAGTAAGTTTATTCTTGCGAGAAAGCAAGGTAACCAAAAGGGTTTAACCTATGGACCTGATTGAATGTGTTTTTGATGTTAAAAGAGAAATGTGTGTGTCTAAATGAAAAGAAAAGAACGCTGTTTAATTCTGTTAATAAATCAGACAAGGAAAAGCAGAGCGTTCTCACTCCTGAGGCGTAACATGTCGACGTTTTGTCACGTCCCGCGGCGTTCCTGAGGAACGCGAAAGGAGTCCTTCGGCGTTCTTATGGTACGCGGCGGGTTATGGCTGGAATCCAGTGCAATGACGCTCCCGCGGTAATAGACGTTCCAGCCCTGTATTCCAGCCCTAAACCTAACCTTATCCCTAGCCCTGACCATAACCTTATTCCTGACCTTAACCAGGACGTTAATGATGTTAAATAGCGTGTTTCTAAGCGATTTGAAGAAAAAGAGCGAACATGTGTAGAATCAGTCCAGACGGTTCTCATATTGCCTCTTTTTTCCGAGGTCGTCATTTAGGAATGTGGTGGGTAGCCGAAAACGTAATATGGTGACGATTTGTCACCTAGCGTAAAATGTTACGCTTTGGGAGTGAGAACGGGTTGGGAAGAGCCTGCAGACCGAATGCAACTCATGTCTCCTGTCTCTGGTTTTCTGTTAAAAAAAAACAGCTTAAAAACGGACCCTATCGAAGGTCTGTAACAAATGCACCAATCTTACATCTCTAAGGTATGTTTTTGTTTTTTCTTTAATATGGCAGTTGGCAGAGGTGCACCAATCAGAGTGCACTTACATCAGTCACAGGATTTTCCTGTTTGGGAGAGTATCTGTCCTGAATGCAGAGCTAGAAAAGAACTAATCAACAGTTTGAAGAAGTTGGGTTGTTCTCAGTTCCTTCGGAGTGTGTTGGATCAATTAAGACTTTGGAAAAGTTCCCGAGGTCTCACAGCTCACCATCACTGAGCAGAAAACAAATTCTGAATTACAGCTGCGGAGCATCAACTCCAGAACATCTGAGGACTGAACTTAAGAGATTCAGTAAGACAGCAGTCCTAAGTTCACAAACTGTTCCATCCCAGAAGAAGAAAGAGTCCAAGTCCTGAAACGCTTCTGTGAGTAAACTACAAACATCTCAGTGCTAAAGTTGTCGAAGGAATTAAAGTCCTCACAAGTGATGTTCAACAGTTAAAGATGAGAAAATCCAGCAGATCCAGAGGTTCACACACAGAAATGTCATATAGTTTAAATTACATATTTTATATGTAATTTAAACTGTTTCCTCTCTGTTTTATATTTGTAGCACTTTGGTCAACATTGTTGGATGTAAAGTGCGTTATAAATAAAGATGCTATGCTATGCTATATCAGGTCATTTATCTTATTTAAATCACAACAACAGTCGCCTCGAAGCGTTTTACATTCTGAGGTAAAGACCCTACAATAATACGGAGAAGGATCACCACTGCATTTGGTAACAAGTGCACTCATGGGTCAAAATGTTCACCAGTACTGAATATCCAGTGACATGGGAACAGTAAAATAATTCTATTTAACCTCAGACACACACAGCTAGATGCTCTTCGGGGTCAGTGGGCTCCCTGAAATGATTTATCTGCCACCTCGGTTGTGGTCCCAACTCGAGAACAAGAGCTCAAACTGCCCGACTGACATCCTGAAATATGACCGAAAACTCCTGGATCAATCCAGGACATTTTGTTGCCTATTCCGAGGAATCGGATGACCCAGATTCTCTGTTTCTTCCTTTTGTTTCTTAGCAACATCAGGATCATCATCACTTCACGTGTACTCTGTGTTTGTCAGTGCATTTTTGAGGACAAATTTTCCATAAAAGCACTTTCGATGTGCATCTATTTACACAACAGGTTTGCATTCAAAATATTTGAAAATTTATTCAATTTTTTTCGCAATCAACTCAATGTGTTACAACTAATCAAAATCAATTTTATGTTTTATTTTCATAAATATGAAAAAAGTCTAAAACTCCTCAAATAGTCGAGGGGTAAAATCACACTCACGTTATGATATTCAACCACCTCCTCAATGAAATCCACCCCATCAGCCAGCGGGATCCGAACGCCTCTCTTTGTCCAGTCTAAGAGAGCACACACAAACAGAGCGACACTGTCACGGTGTGTTCAGGGTCTGTGAGTTTTTTGATTGATGAATTAGGTTCTTACTGTTGATCAGTGGAACTACAGACATCTGCAGCATCGTCTTTAGAGGAGCCTGCAAAGGAATCAACTGCAGACACACAGAGAGGTTTTAGGGTGTATATGCTTCATGTTTTGGTCAGAACGTGTAAAAATCAGGGAGAAAGTGTTTGTTCTGTAGTTTTGTGTCTTGTGGAGATCAGAGAAATATTTTACTGCTATTGTTCATGGTCATCATCATTATCATTGCATTAATAACATAATCTACAGCATTGATATTGCATTCAGATGTTTAAATATATTGGCACCCAATCGGCCTTTATTACAGGAGCAGTTATAACCCCTTTAAACTGTTGAGTTAAATCTATAATCTTAAATGCTTTTGAATGCTTTTCATAATCTTAAATGTTTATATGCAGATTATATTGCATTATAAAAGAAAGGCCTAACTCTGAGTACACTCTGTGCCAAAGTAGACAGGAAGCGCAGGCTTTTGCAGAGCGTGCTTGTGAAAGTGAAACTAAAGCAGAGTCTAAGTGTAAGTTACTTTGAGGAGCAGTTTGGATGGGGCTATTTGAATAACCAGGTTATTCATTGTTATCTTTTATTCTTTTATATTCTTTTATTAAGTTTTAAGTAGTATCATTTGATTAAAACATTTAGTCGATATATTACACATATAGTTTCAGTTGTGTACGTGCTGGCCTTCTGTCTGGTGGAAAGGTTACAAGGTTTAGCTGGTGAGGTGAGAGGTGAAACTGAGTGCATTTCAGGTCGACACAAACACACACACACCCACACACACACAGTAGATGGACTCATTTATAGGTGAAAGTTTAATTATATTTTGCTTGTGACCAGGGTTTTAATAGTTTTGCAGTTTTCATTAGTTTTTATTTTAATTTAGTTTTGATTTCAGATTTTCAATTTTATATCAGTTTTAATTAGTTTTTAACAATTGTTTGCTAGTTTAGTTTTTATTTTTTTGAAAATCCTTAGTTTCAGTTTAGTTTTGATTAGTTTCAGTTATAGTTTTAGTTGTGTTTGCAATAATTAAGTGTAACAAAATCCCAGTTTCATCATATCAGTCATGCTCTTCTGCTTATCCTTGGGTATGTTGCTATTCCAGCTACCATACCCTGCACCCTGCACAGGTCGCCTGTCTGTCGCAGGGCTAACACGCAGAGACAGACAACTCACATTCCCACCTATGGGTTCTTTAAATAAATAAATAAATAAAGGCAGATGAACAACCATTGATACCAGGCAACTATAAAATGTATATCTTGGCCCCAATGAGACTATTAACTCTTGCAGCACCGGGTGTTCATAATTTTGGTTCAAGTGAATTGATAAACTTTTTGAAGGCAATTGACTCACACAGTTATGTAGATATCCCCGTCCTGTTGTCTCGGGATGCATCACGCTGCCTTGCCTGGGGTTAGCTTCTGTTTCTGGGGATGAGGGTTGAGTGTGCTCCCTTACCTTCTCAAGGTAAGCTAGGTTAGCCTTCTTGTGTGAGCTTTTCAAGTGCACTTTAAGGTTTGTGGGATTTTTTCCCTTTAGAAATGTCCCTCATAATTTGTCTCTTTCCACTACAAGACACTTGCTTTATCCAAAACACAGTCATATTCAAAGTAATCCCAAATTGGACTCTGGCGCTTTCTCCCGACTTTTCCTGACATGATTCTGCGCGTGGACGGAGCAGCAACACAGACGACTCGACTAACGTACTGCCACCTGCTGGCATAATGAGACACAGCAAGAAAAAAATCTGGAAACTAAACTTCATTTTCACCCTTGACTATTGTATGACACGCACACATCAATGAAAACTAAACACATTTTTGCTATAAATTCAGTTAATTTTAGTTAGTTTTGTGAACACTCATTACAGTTTTAGTTAGTTTTCCTTTTTTTGTTTTTATTTTTATTTCCGTTAACGAAAATGTTTTTTCACTTCTAGTTTTCATTATTTCGTTAGTTTTCGTTAACGATAATAACCTTGCTTGTGACTGCAAAATTGTGCCTGCATGAGTGACAGTTTCTTGCAGAATGTGTGCCTGATGTTCCAGACGAAAAGCGAGCGTCCGGCAGCGACAGGAAGACACCTGGCATGGAGACGAGGCGATGTTGTTTTTTCAAACTGTGTTAAAAGTCATTGTGGTTTTGAAACTTATTCATGTGATGACGCATGAGGGGGCGTTATAAATTTCCCTGATGATATAAAACAACTGATTGTGTATTGTTCGAGAGAGATCGATGCTGCGTACAGTGTTCATCTCTCCACGCGTGTGTTCATTAAAATCATCGTTTGACTTAACCCGGCTGGACCAGTGTTGTTATTTTGGATTTCCTCCTATATCCCTCCTCAATATTGAACCCTTAACAGTCTCCTTGCTGTCTCATTGAACCAATTACTGTAAGATGAAAACAAACTTACCGCCAGAGACTCGAGAGCTGACTGGTTGGAGAAGATCTTAAACCTGAAAGGTGAAAAAAAAGTCGATAAATAATCAATAATCAAGTTGTGCTATAAAATGGTGGATCATTACGAAGCCAGTTTTAACCAACATGGCGATGGTATTGGTGATGAGTTCGTTCTGTTGGAGAACCGGTGTGAGAGCATAATGTGGTGGGTTAGAGTTTTTCATTCCTGTAGAAGGTGAGCGATGACAGGTCCGTGGTGTCAGGGGTGTGTGTGGATGAGAGGAAGAGAGGACCCAAATGCAGGAATAGCAGGTAGGTGAAGATTGGTGATTTATTGTAGACAATGGAGAAATGAACAGACCATGAGATGGCTGACTGCCTGGACGACTGAAAGACTGGCTGAATGGCTGACTGAGCATAGGGCACACACAGGAACGACAACATCAATGACAAGACAATGACCAGGTTGAAACTGAGGGCTTAAATACACCGGCTGAATAGTGACTGATTGGAGACTGGTGAGTGAACAGCTGAACACAGAGTCCAGAATGAATCAGTCCTGGTGGGTGGCCGTGTGGCCAGCGGTGGCATTGGAGTCGATCTTGTGGGCGGCCACGTGGCCAGCAGTGACGCTGGAGTCGATCTGGCGGAAGGCGGCGGTGGCCACTCAGCAAGTCCAGAGGCTGGCTGCGAGGAAGACAGCGGCGGCCACTCCGCAGGTGCGGAGGCTGGCCGCGAAGAAGACGGCGGCCTGGTGGCCGGTAATGGCGAGGAAGGTCAGTCAGCGGCCTGGAAGGTGGCCACCGATGCCAAACCCAATGTGGACGAGGCGGTGGCAATCGCTTGATCAGGCGGTGTGGAAACCTCTGGCTGAGGAGAGAGAGAGAGCTCACAGCTGGCTCTGGGTGCTGTGACTGCAGATTGGGGAACAGAGCTAAAAACGGACTGGGAGACTGACTTGGAAGCTGAACAGCAGGAGACTGGACTGCAGACTGGAGGACAGGAGACTGAGCTACAGGTGACTGAACTGAGGATGGGGACAGTGCTGCAGCCTGAGACAATAAACCGGGAACATGAGATGGAAACAGATCTGCTAATTTACTAAGGGAGTGAGCTAGGGCCTGAAAACCTGGATGAGGATGTGGATGAGGTGGTGAACGGGCAGGTCAACATGCTAGCTCTTCCAATCCATCCTCCAGAGCGCGAGGGCAATGCCTGGAGAGCCTCAGCTGAATCTCAAGGGACGTCAGGTTAGATCCTGGCCACCCTCACCTTGGGTGCTGGGACAGGCGTGGGAGCTAGCTGGACATCAGTCACCCCCACCCAAGATACAGGAAGGCGGGTAGGAGTGGACTGAGGTTCAGCTGCCCTCGCTCTGGGAGCTGGCACGGAAATGGGTGTTGGCTGGTCATCAACTGCACCGTCCCGAGGGCCTGGCACAGGTTCGGCGACGCGCTGAGCCCTAGCCACCCAAGGAGCTGGGACAGGCTGAGCGTTACCAGGCTTCAACTGAGCAGGTAGAACAGGTGAAGGGGAAGGCTGAATCCGATCAGTCTCTTTGGAAACAGAATGATAATGAGTAATAATTGGATAGTCCAGAATGTAATCACAGTATACAGTCTTTGATTTAGATCATTGGCAAGCAGTCCCTGAGTTGTGGTGAGGAGAAAAAAAGTCAGTTTAGCTCACCACGGGATCTTGCTGCTCCAAACTGGTAATGTGAAGGCTGCATGAGCCTCGTCTCCACTGAACAAAAACAGCTGAGCTGCTGAACAAGGGAGCCTCCGTAGAGCCGAGGTGGGAGGTGGAGTCGTCGTGGCACAGCGAGATTGAAGGTCCAGTGAATGAAGCGGCTGGCGGGCAAGCGAGGAGCGGAGCGGCGAGAAAGCGAGCGGCCGAAGCTTGGCCAGTGATGCCCACTCTCCGAGGTGAATGGTCCGATGCAGGTGAGGCAGCAGGTGGGGGACCACGGCGTCTCTGAGGGCTGCCCAGAGCCAGGCGAAACCCCTCGAAGATGTGCTGTCTTTCAATTCAATTCAATTTTATTTATATAGCACCAAATCACAACAAAAGTCGCCTCAAGGTGCTTCATAGGTACAGAGAAAAACCCAACAATCATATGACCCCCTATGAGCAAGCACTTTGG